TGCTCTCAGTGGTGCTTTCGGGTACTTGGGTCCCGTCAGGCAGAGGACATCTGTCTTTTGCCCTTGTATCCGAGACATAAATTTGTCTGAAATAAAGAGCTGAAAGGCACGAACGTCAACTAGGCAAGCGTCCGGTTTACCGTCCTACACCGAGAGAAGGGGATTGAGGGACACGTCTTTTTAAAGACGATAGTCTTTCTAGGAGACCTTCGAAAGAAAAATTTTGGTCTGCCTGCCTGCCTGTCTGTCTGTCTGTACATTTGTCTATTTGTCCGGTCGTAACGATACCTCAATCGGCACCAAACGGCCAACCCCATCCGCAGCACCCACCAACATTGCTCAAGGTTTAGCGTTCATAGTTGTGCTATTGTCAATTAAAAAGCAATTCTTGCGCATATCTGAGGTGCCATCACAACACTTCGAAGTTTTTCATGTCTGCCTTTATACTAGAAGAGGCACACAGAAGTAACTTTAAAGAATGTAGCGTTTATCGCGATGCGCTGAAAGTGAAACGCGATGCTCAAAAAGGTGTTGCCAACGCTTTTCCACGACGTCAAGGTGGTAGCACCTGCCCGTCGCTTTGCGTTCTACACCTTATCACCTCCGAGACTGGCGCGCATCTTTCTCCACGGGCTGCACGCCTTCGTTTTCCAAGATAACTGCCAGATGGTGCCTGTGTTAAACGTGCCTCGATGCGCTCGTTCGCCTCCACTACACGCTCGAGGAACTCTAATGCTGCGCCTCCAGCCAATTTTCTTGCGCATAACATCAAATAAACGTTTTGTTTACTCTCTCCAGACGCAAGCTCATCGTCTTTCGACTACATTTGTGGTGTAACATGCAGATTTGTAACCAATTTTTTGTTCCCTTTTTCTATCCCTTTTTAAGAGTAGTGGTAAACTGTCATTCATAATTCGATAACGGTTGCCGGTGCGCTACACTTTGTCCCTATTATGCCCCAAGAATAGACGTATTGCTTTACGAATTGCACTGTCTCCCAATCTATCGCGATGGACGGTTCTCTGACGGGACAGGTCGCTCATGACTCAAAACAAAAACATGTGCGTAAGTAGCTTTTGCTTCACATGAAATAAACTTTAAAAATACATGGAGTCTGCCGAAATATTCTCGCTTTTATATTTAGAGGCGTGGCATAGAGCATTTAGGGTCTACTCATATTGTTCGCTAAAGCTGAAAAGCCAGACCTAACACCATTGACATTATGGAATTATTCATGATTGAAACTTGACTGAAAACGTGGAAGCTCGTTAATAAATAAGAAGAAAGATCATGTGTGAAAAAGTTCTGAATTAGAATTGAATAGACTTTTATTTGTTCCTCTAAAACACAGATCACTGTGTTGCGGGCAGCTCCCACGTGGGGACTGAGATGCCAAGCTTTTCAGCCGCCTCGAGGGCTTGGTGGACAGCCCAGAGCTGATCTGCCAAGGACGAGCTGCAGATTGCCGCCTCCCATCTGGCTGAGGTGATGTTCGATAGATGAGCGGCACAGAGTGTGAGAATTTATTAGAAGGCAGAGAGGTCGGCCTGAGCTAGTTCGCTCTAGCCTGCTACTCTACACAGGGGATAAGGGAAAGGGGAAGGAAAGAGGGATGAAGGGTGATGATAGGGACAAGAAGAGGTGGTGCGTATGTACCAGTAGCCACTTAGCATAGTACCCTACAGTCTAGTTTCTAGTCCAGTGCTTTTATAAAGTCTAGAACAGCCTTTGTAGCAGTTTTTGACACTGTTTGGTCGTTCATTGCTGACAATTATGTGGCTTTCACTTAATGGTGTTTAGTCCAATGCTTGCCAACGTTGCAGTTAGCATTTTTCTTTGCGCCACGTATAATGCACAGTCACAAAATATGTGAGCTATCGTTTCGCGCACTTGGCAGCGTTCACAATTCGGGCTGTCCGCACGGCCGATTAGGTGGGTGTAGTGGCGAGTGAAGGCGACGCCCAGGTGAATTCGGTGCAGTATATTAACATGTCTTCGGCTGATTTTATCTGGAAGACGAAAAGTCATACCGGGGTCTGTTTCCCGCAGGCGCTTGTTCCGGTGATCTGGTAGCGACCAGTAAGTGGCAGCGCATTCGCGCATATGTGATCTCAACAATGTGTTGACGTCACTTCGCGAGTACGGTACTTTGACGTAGAAATCCATTGGAGTGTAATCAAGTGACCGCTCCTGTGTGTTAGTTCAAATGCTTGGACGATTCCCAACGTTAACTCGTAAAATTGGCCTCTTCTTGAGCAAGAATGGATAGCTTGAAGCGCTGATTTTGAATCAGACAGAATCGTCCAATTACGTGGTGCTTGCTCGTTCACAAATTTTATGGCTTCTTGTATAGCAACAAGTTCTGCAGGTGTCGAAGATGACCTATGATCTAATTTGTACTGTCGGGAAATACTGAGTTGAGGGATCACGAAGGCTGCAGCTGATGCGGATGAAGTTACGGATCCATCGGTGTAAATGTGCACAGAGTCGCTGTATCGGTCATCTAAATGTGCCAAGGTGAGTTGCTTGAGGGCAATATAAGAAACATGCGACTTACACGAAATTCCACGTATGTTAAGGCACACCAGCGGTTTAGTCAATGTCCATGGAGGCACTGCAGGGATTACGGCAGGTGCAAAGCCTGAAGGGATCATGTGCCTATGCGTATCGAGGCATTGCGAATAGGTACAGCCTGGTCGGTCCACTTGTAGCGAAGACAACGGGCGCTGTGCATGTCGGGTCAGCAGACGAAGGATTTTTTACACTGCCAGAGCATATGTTCTAATGAAGCTATTTCCTCACAATGTGGGTAAAGATTACTTGGGTATAGGTCAGGGTACATGATGTGTGACATTTTCAAAGTATAGGGTACATCCACGTATGCAAAATCCTTACTGTAACTGCCGAGTTGAATTACTGTGAGGTGAAGGGAGAGAAAAGATTTTATTAGGTACATTTAAGCAAAGCATGTGGAAAGGAACCCTAGTCCGGGTTCCCTATGACGACCTCGGTGACAAACCCGGCCCGTTGAACCAAGGCCTGGCGGACCTCGGAAGGCCCGGCGCAGAGGACATCGTCCCACAGATCTTTGGTGCGGAAGGGGAGCAGGATAGCGGGAAGGGGAGAAAAAATTCTTCTAGACAGGTAGAAACGTTTAGTGAGCTTGTTATATGTTGTAAGAATTTCCCGGTTATCCCTTTCACCATCAGAACGCAGGCCCGGGGAGTGGCGGTTGGAGAGGTCTCGCGCCGCCTTGTGTGCTGCTTAATTGAGATTGGGAGGGGAGTCGTTGATTTTTACGAGGTGAGCTGGAACCAACTCACAAGATGATGCGTTATGTCGTTGCCATGTAGTATTCTCAGCGTTTGTTCTGAGACCGTCCCCTTTGCGAAGGCCCGTAGTGTTGCCATGGAATCACTGTAGGCGACTTCAATGTTATCCATCTTGAGTTCAAAGGCGATGGCCACCTGTTCCGCAATGATTGGGTCTTGGTTCAGTGATTTCATCTTGTGTTCATTGAAACGAGTCCAGCCGGTACAGGCGCGCTCTAGGTATATGACTTGCAATACGGGGGTGCATCACTTCACGAAATCAAAAACTGTACACACTTGACTTCAACTTGTTTTATTTCAAAAACTAATTATTACTTTCTCATTTCAGAACACGTCCAAGTTGGAGAAACACGTTTAGTGAAAAAAATAAAGGACTAGTGAAAGTGATGAAGAATATTTGCAAAATCTACGGAGAGTGTCTATACGTCAGCATGCTTTTACGGGGTACGCGACCTTTTTAGCCGCGTGAAGGTTTCACTGCAGGGTGTTATCCTGCATCTGCCGGCAACTGCATCTATCCTGGCGTGTTCTGACATGACTATAGAATTATGGCACGGCAAAATAAGCACCGAGTAGGATCCACTACCATTGCACTAGGCATGAAGGAGATAGACGCGGTGCAAGTGGTATTTACTAGTGTCTGGTAGCATCGTCGCTCCTGATTACTTTATACTTATTTATTGGCTTTACACAGCAGAGCAAGTTTCTGTGAACAAAATTACTTGCATATAGGTTTGAAACATAGTGAAAATTTTACAGCCGATAGCCTGTGGGACACTTCAACGCACAAATTAGGGTCTGTCTTTCTGCTTCTCTCACATAGCTATAGGTACAATGGCGAAAGTTTAACCCGTTCCAAAGTGACCAGCCTACTTGATCTATGTTTTGCGTTCGTTTGTGCTGACGTTGTCAATGAAAATACAATTATTACGCTATTCCGGCGCAACACCAATACGCGGTCATTAGGTAGTGTGTTACTTTATTCCTAAAACGCATAGATAGGTTATTGGGCCGGAAAAACGGGCCGTTCCGACGCTTCCCTAACACTACATGGTGCTGCCCCATACCAGTGGCTTTGCGTTCTAGAAAAACTGCTACATGGCCTCCGAGACAGCGGGCACGGAAAATACACCACGCGCTTGCCACCTCTGAGGCCCTGACTGTTAGATAGCGTTCACATTTCACGCAGCGCCTATTCGCCAATTTTCTGACGCAGAACGTCAAATAAACATGACGGTAGTTATAGGATGAGAACAGAACGACGACAAAGAGACGCTATAACTACCGTCATATCATCCAACTAGCCCAAACCACCGCACTTTTAAGTCAAATAAACGTTTTATTCTCCCTCTCAAGACAGGAGACTATCATCTTTCGACGACCTTTGTTCGCGAACGCCCGCAGATACACTGCCAACTTTGTTCTTATTATTTTTCGAACTGAAAATTTGACGTAACGTTTTTTTTTCGGGTGTGGGTGAATGAAGCTGCTCTGGTTGGTTGTTAGCTTATATTTATGTCTCGAGCGCTGCACACAGCCTCGATGCCCCTCCAGTAACGAGATTACACGTTTCAACTCGCGTAAAGCGTGGCAAGATTCTCCGCGTTCACCACAGCTAAAATCATAACAATCGATATCCCGACCAGCACTTGGTGCACTGCCACTCACCAGTGAAGTGATGATGTAGTTGTGGTAGTATGTCATCATGTTGACTTCTCTAGCCTGAAAAAAAAAAGAAAAGCAGGCGTCTCGGTGAAAAAAAAGAAAGAGAAAAGCATAACAAGCTCAAAGTGTTTAAATGATGAATGAAACATACAGCAATTATACTCTCTTACTGATGCCCATTTCGCGAAATGCAATATTTAGCCGGTTACTTATTTATACTGCATAAAACATTTCAAGACCAAGAAGCCAACCGTGCAGGATGCAGCATGAATGCTTACGTCGTCATAAAGGGTTGGGATTGTTCAACGATTATATGACAATGCTTGTTCTTTTATAATAGCTTTATCGTCTTTGCATCACATCATCAAAAATACCACGCTCGTCCTGAATGAGGGATTACACTAGCATCAAAGAATCGAGAAGTAAGTGTTGTTTTATTATAAAATCCAAAGCATCTGGGGCTTCAGTATGAGATGCGGAGACATCCTGGTCACAGTGCTTTCCTTGTTGACCTACTTACGCAATGCTTTTGACAAAACCTTGCCGTGAGGCTTTCGCCTCGTTATCAATGCTTACTTCCCAAACTTTAGAGGGCCTCTGAAAGTACAAGAAAAAAAAAACGATTTTTTTTTCTGTTGGCGTTAGTAGTGTTTCTGGCGCACTTCTTGAGTGAAGTACAGTGCTTAGCGCGACGTCAACAGTATAAACCACTTCGCGGGGTATGTTAATCCCTTGAAGTCCTAAAACAAGCAATATCATACAGCGGAGCGATGAGAGGAGCTGCTGGCCAGTGAGAATGTGGAAGATCAGCTGAGTCTGATCGACCGGGTGCGCATAGTGGCTGCTGCAAGCGGAGCCCTGAACTTAAATCCCCACCTCCACCCCTCCACCCCACCACCACCATGAGCCAAGGGCATCCGACTACTCAAAGCTTCTCCGCAGAAAATGCCCTGCAAATAAATATATAGGTTTCAACACCACCACCACACCATGGATTGGTCCTTACACGCAATACATCGGGGGTGGATCGTCTCCTGCAATGCTTGCCATGCAGCGGCCTATTCATTGTTTCTTGCCTCGCACGGCTATAGTGCGCATACGACTGATCTTAATAGATTTTGTTTTAGGGCATTAATTAAGGCTAGTATGTTTACACTCAACTTAAAGGCTTTTAACCACTCTGTGAAGACAAGGAAATTTATTGCAAACTGGTAACAACAGAATCTAAAAGAATGGAATGCTAAACATAGATAAATTCAGTTGTTTTATGCATAGAATTTTTTCTTTTGTGTGTGTTTAATATGTTTTTTTCAATGTTTTTTGTTGGTTTGTTTTTATTTCTAGCGCCTTTAAAGTATTACCTATATTACCTAATTAGTGCAACCCTTCCTTTCAAGAAGTGAATCAATTAAAAAAATATTGATGGCAGATCCACGAGCTGAATGATGATGAGATTGGGCGAAGCTCCTGGAAGTAATGCCGTGAAATTTTCTTCCGTTAATTCACCTGGCGATATGCGCGCTCCCTCACCGCTTCCCATTCTCGAGCGTTTTCAAGATCTGCTTCGCGACGTTGACGTGCTGCCTCGGCCTCTCGTTCCCGTACGGAAAGATCTTGCCGACGCTGACGTGCCGCTGCAGCTTCTTGTTCACGTACGGCGGGATCTTGCCGATGCTGCCTTGCTGATGTGGCTTCTTGTTCCCGTACGGCAGGATCTTGGCGGCGACGTCGCGCCGCTTCCCAGCACGCTTCTGCCTCGAGTGCTCATACTTCAGGGTCCTGTATGCGCGCCCGACTTTCGACATCCTTATCCATACGAGCACACACTGACGGCAACGAGCATCGGCAACAACAAACCTGTATCGATATGGTTTCGATTATAAAACCATTGCTTCAGAAAACACCTGGCGTCTTTCGTTAAGCAGCTGGCGTCTTCTTTTTGTTTTGCTTTAGAAACATCTGGTGGCTTTTCGTTTTGCTTTTAGAAAACATCTGGCGTCTTTCGTTGGTTTATTTGATCAATCAACGGCGTTTTGAACAAAAAAAATTTTATTGTTTAATCACGCACAGGAGAAACCTCACCAGGCGCTACTTTGGAGGTAAACAATAGCTGCTACTGGGAATGAGAGACAGTAGAAGTCGGCTTTTAACAGTTCTACTTCTACTAACGTTTCGTACTGGAACATGCCAATGGCTGCTTATGGGGAATGAGAGACAGAACAAACCGGCTTTTAGTTAACGCGCACGCAGCGAATTTTTTTTATTGTTCAACAACGCACAGGAGAAATCTCCCACCGGCACCACCTTGGAGGTCAAAGCGTAGGACTGGTTACACACTATCACTACGACTACGACTACGGGGGACGAACGGGTGCCGCTACAAGGAGCTTCGCCCCTAAAAGCAAGGCACCGTCGCATTCATGGCCTAGGCTATCCCCTAGGTGGGTTGCGCCAAGGTGTTGAGGAACCAACCAACCAACTTCAGGCATGCTTCAGGTGAGTAAAACTGTCTGGTGTAACAAATTCACTTCATTGGCGCGTGCCAACAAGACAACATAGGCACTATGTAACACACAACACTGCTATAGACGATTTCAAGGTCACAAGTGTTGTACCCCCCCCCCCCCCCCCCAAAAAAATCGGCAGCGTATCCATGGAGTGTATAATGGAGAGTGGGGCAAAGCATTCGTCCGTCCATTCGTTCTTGCTTCCGTCCGTCCATGCGTCCGTCTGTGTGACCGTCGATGCCTCCATCCGCCCGTCCCTGCGTGCGTCTGTCCGTGCGTCCGTCCTTGTGTTCGTCCATGCATCCGCCTCTGCGTTCGTCCATGTGTCCATCCATGCATCTGTCTCTGTGTCCGTTCGTCCATCTATTCAACACTCCAAGTACCACCGTCTCGCATCTTTTCATCATATATTCCCCACATAGAAGCACCGCCATCCAGCGGACATTCCAAGGACTAAACGAGAAATGGCACACGCGCACTTTTTTACGGCTTGCGCTTCGGGTCTACTTCCCACTTTTAACCACCTCGAGTTCATGTTATATACTAGTTCACTGTATTCATGGCACTGCGACCCAACGCTCGCTAAACCTTTCTAAAACCAAGGAGGTTACGCCCAGAGAGTATAACGTAGCAACCTTTTCCTGTCAGATAGTGCTCAATGTACATGCCAATGGTTTCTAATGGAAAATGAGAGACAGGAGAATTCGGCTTTTACTTTCTTACGGCTTGCGCTTCGTATCTACTTCCAACCTTTAACCATCTCGAGTTCATGGTATATAGTAGTTCATTGTATTCGTGGCACTGTGGCTCAACGCTCGCTAAACCTTTCTAAATCTAAGCAGATTACACCCAGCGAGTATAACGTAGCAACCCTTTCTTGTCAGATAGTGCTCCTGGCTGCTATAAAGATCGCAGCGTGCGCGTTAACTAAAAGCCGAATGCTGCTGTCTCTCATTCCCCATTAGCAGCCATTGGCATGTACACTGAGCACTATTATTTATTGTTCAACAATGCACAGAAGAAATCTCTCACCAGCACCACCTTGTAGGTCAAAATGTTATACTTGGTACACACTACAACAGCTACGAGAGACGAACGGGTGCCGCTATAAAAAGCTTCACCCCTAAAACTTCCGGTCACCTCATTTACCAGCTCCTAACGTTGAAAGTCAAAGCAGGTTTGCAATGTCTTTTCAAGCATAAGAAAAGTCTCTATTTCGATTTTCCCATAGAAGAAACGTGCATGAAGTACAAGGGAACGTTTTATAATTTTTATGTAGTTCAAAAGAAAATTTATTTGAATATGTTTTGTTGAATAAGGGAAGGAAACTGTAGAAAATCAGCGGGCTAAAGCTCTTGTGGTCCTCCAGTGCTCCAGTGCGGTGGTCATGAAGAGGCTGTGTTGAACCTTCCGAAGTCCGTGAAAACAGAGCTCCATGACTGAGTACACGGGACGGCTTTAAGCTCTTTCATAGCAGAGTACTCTGTGCTCTAAATCGTTACCCCCTTTTTCTAACCCCCCCCCCCCCCCCCCCCCCGATCCTCTCCGACGTAAGTTCCTTTTTCTACGGCCTAGTGCTCTCCCATAGTAGAGTACCAAGTACTCTAAATCGTTCACTAGTTTTATCAAAACACGTGTTCTCTAAATTGTTAACATGGGACGGCTTTACGCTCTCCCATAGTAGAGTACAATTAGTACTCTAAATCGTTACCCCTTTTTTTCTAAACATCCTCTCCGACGTCCCCTCCAAAGTACGTGATCTAAACTGGCTTAGGGAATGGGAAGCTTTAACAACGGACGACCGCCTTGCGGCGTGGCGTCCTCCGCCACATGTCCGCAATGCGGCCGCGTCGAAACGCTGAACCATGTCTTTCATGAATGTATGGTAGCACGCACCTTTTGGCGCATGGTTACCAGTATGTTCCAAATAAGTATGCAGTGGAAGCCTAGCAACAGGGATAACTTCGTCGAACTCTTAATGGCTATCGGAGCCTTCGTTTTATGAAAGTGGAGGGGACTGGCCCACCTGAGGGGACGCCCTCAGAGAGCTATGTTTCCTCTGCTATATCGGTTAAGAAACGTAATGTTTATGCATATTAATGGAAAACTAGCCATGCTGGGACAGGAGGCCTTCCTCCGACGCTGGTCTACGCGATTCATTATTGTAAAAAAATAACAGAGTGTCCGTGCCTTTTCTCCCCTACTGAGGCAGTGGGCTAGAGCTTGTACCACTGTGAAATTGCAGTGCGTATTTTCCTTTTCTTCTTTATAAACATGTTTTTTTTGGTGCAATATTGTTTTTTAGCACGAGAGCGATTGTCCTCACAGGTGAATGCAAAAACGTCACCTTGCACTGTGAGTCACCCCCCTTGTTTGTGAATATAGCCTTACTGTTTATATAAGTTTACTCATCTCGACGTTCATGAATGTTCTGTCCTTGTACAATTTTCACATTGTACACCACTGCATACACAAATAAGTTATTTTCGCTGTATATAACAGCTTGCACAGTACATACACATGGTCATCATTGTCCATCTTTCTGTGTGA